ATGCGAGTGTGCAAACACACCCTCAGAGAGGGAGATAGAGAGACAGAGACAGAGAACCTTGTATGCTCGCTGTGATGATGTCCTCTCCAAGCGTTGAACAAAATGACAGTACTTGTCTGTGTTCTGCAGCGGGCAAGCTCCATCATGAGGACACTGCAACAACAAAAATTACAAATGGCACGTCATTTTTGAGCATCATCAAATTCTTAAAAGAGAGGTTGCTGATGCGAAGACACATTTATACAAAGCAATCCAATTTATGAAAGAGAAGATCCATCAACTTACAGGAGCAACTACAAACGCACCAGTTTTGCGTGTCATCAAATCATTAGAGGCCTTATTAGCTGCATTTTGTAATTTACGGCTTCTCTAAGAAGTGATACAAATACATGTTAAGGACTCTTAAAAATAGGATTATTAACACAAAACATCCCTACGTATGAAATTCATTGTGCAAAACATCCTAACATTGCATTTTTTTACATTTTCAACCCTATTTCTACCTTTCATTGCGGAAATCATCCATTTCATCCATTTCCATCCAATTTCTAAATAAAACGTAGTGAAATAACGAATATACCCTTCTATTTAAATAATAAAATAAAAGAAAAAGAAAAGAAAAGAAAAAAACTAAATGCAACCATACTCTCAATTTTTTTGAAAAAGTGCAAACGAATCCAAAATGAATTATTTAAAAATTAGAAAAAAAAAAATCTCATTCTTTAACCCTCTTTATCCCCATACCACACACAACTCAAATTACAAGGAATATTTCATTTAGCAAGATTAATCATATGGGGAGGGCATTATGGAATACATGCCACAGAGTTTTTTTTAATTGGAAAGCTGAAAATGAATTTGTTCTTTGCTCATAATACAACACAGAAATTAGTTCTTTAATCCGGTGTTGGTTGTGGTGGTGGTGGAGGAGGAGGAGGATGGGAAAGGCGAAAGAAGATTTTTTTTTTTTTTTCAAATTTTTAAATAATTTATTTGAGACTTGTTTGCACTTTTTTAAAAAATTTAGGAGCATGGTTGCAATTAGTTCTTTATTTTTCTTTTCTTTTTGTTTTATTTAAATAGAAGAATATATTCGTCATTTCACAACTTTTTATAAAGAAATTGGATGGAAATGGATGAAAATTATTATTTCTGCAATGAAAGGTTGAAATAGGGGGTGAAAATGCAAAAAATGCAACATTGGGATGTTTTGCACAATGAGCGCCATACGTATGAACGTTTTGTGCTAATAACCCCTCAAAAATACAACCATAATAATGTAAAATCTGATATGAAAGAACTTACCCTCTTCTCCATCCATAAGATATGTGATCGCATTTGAGATATGATATTTGATCCTTGTGGTGTTCCGGGTTCAACCAGAACCTGTTCCCAATAGAAATTTGAATTTGGATACGAAAATGGAAAGCAAAAAATCTGCAAGTTCACCTTCCTTCAAAGGAACAATCATGCTTACAGTTCTGCCATTTTTTACCACAAGAACTTTAAAAATAACATGTACAATAATAGTTCCTAACTCTTACCGTGTTTATAATAATGTTCAAAAAAGTTATTGTGCATCGCAAGATCACAGGTTGTGAATTATACATTGTAATACAAGTCTAAATAGAAGATACACTTTTCTATATTGGATTTTGATAAAATGAAGCCTATCACCAGATTCTGTGAATGTTAACCATATATCCTTTAAGAGAGAATTATTTTGGGGATTGGCAGATTATATGGCTTCAGTTAAAAGAGAGGCTCCTACATGTCAGATAATTGCCTTATGCATCCAAACAATTAACTTTGATGTCATATATTGCTGATATATACCTGACTTACATTACAGTCCCCCCCCCCACAAAAAGGTTTGAACTTCAAATACCATTGTAACAAGGTTAAAGCTACATATTTGCTTTCTAGATCATTAAATATTCCGAAGCCTTTTTAATTTGTAATGTTATTAGATACTATGATTTATCAACAATTAAAGCAGTTTCAGAAGTAAAATAGCAATATCTTGGCGAACTCTGATAAATGTAATATGATACAAAGATGAACTAGCTAAACAAAACTAGTTTGATTTCAATCCCCAATCCAATAAAATATGGTATATGCCTAATCACAGTCCCAATATGGGATTGATTAATTCTCCTTGAGTATGAATAGGATATTGTAGAAAAATAGTTATGAATAACAAATCTATTTCTTCAAGAGACCTATTGGAAAAAAATAAATAAATAAAAATAACTGATTCTACTCATGTGTTGTGCTGTGCAGTCAATTGAAACAAATCCATGTGCCTTGGAGATATGCCAAACAAAGATGAATAGTATTAAGCAAAAACAAAGAT